TCTTTGTTTTAAGAGGTGCTTTTCACATAAGCAATACATCCAAAAACTGAAATAATTTGCCTCTTATACCATGCCTCAAAAGGTGTTTTATTTTGGAGAGATTTCGTAGGAGTTCTGTTTAGAATATAAATAGCAATACACCATGCCTCAAAAGGTGTTTTATTTTGGAGAGATTTCGTAGGAGTTCTGTTTAGAATATAAATAGCAATACAAACAGCTTTAGCCCAAATTTACTAAGAAGATTCTTACCCTTCAACATACTCCGAGCCATTTCAATTATTGTTCTATTTTTTCTCTCTACTACTCCATTTTGTTGTGAAGTATATACTGCTGTCAATTCTCTTCTGATTTCATTCTTTTTACAAAAAATTCAAAATTCTTTTGATGTAAATTCTCCTCCTTGATTTGTTCACAAGGCTTTTAATGGAAAATCAATTTTCTTTGCTGTATCAGCTTTAAACTGAGTAAAAAATGAAAATGCTTCTAATTTTTGAGCCAATAAATATACCCACATCATTCTGCTGTAATCATCAACAATTAAAAGAAAATATCTTCTTTCATTAAAAGTTTCTGTTTGAGTCGGTCTGCATATGTCTGCATGGACTAGTTCCAATGGAGCTCCTGCTCTTCAACATGACTCTAAAAATGACAATCTATATAGTTTTCCATAGATACACCCTTCACATATTTTTCTTTCTTCACATATTGATTGTAGTCAAATTACCATACCTTTATGATTCATCAATTTCAAACTTTGAAAATTTAAATGCACAAATCTTAAATGCCACAAGTAAGATTTATCAGTATTTTTATAATTCAATGCATAATTTTCACATGACATTATCACCATAGGAAAACCTTATTTGGGGTCATTTTCACCTTGGCTATAATCTGTTTATGTTTCTTATAAAAAATCACACATTCATCTCTATTGAAATTGATTGAATATACTTTTTTCATTAATTGACCAACATTTAAAAGATTTTGAGTCAAGCCAGGAACATAAGGTACATCAGAAATTAATTTAGGATTACCTCTTTTTGGTTTTACTACAATTACTCATTTTCTTTCAACATTTTGGAGCTTCACATCACCGAGCTTGAGTTGAGAAGTGATTTTTTCATATATCTCAACAAAATTGCTTCGCTTCCCTGTCATATGATTGCTACAACCACTATCCAGATACCAAATATCATGTGAATTCTGTTGAACGTTCATGCCTAAATGAAACATATGGCCTATATTATTATTTTTCTCATAAAAATGTACTTCATTTTTATGTATTTCATTTTTATGTTGAAACCAATAATCTCTTTGAGAATAATTGGGGTTCTATATTTTTGACATTTATATTAGCAATCCTTGGATTCATGCCTTGATTTTTTTACAAATAATGCAGTAAGATTCAGATTCAGATTTACCTTTTCCATCTGGATTTCTGTAGTTGTTGAAATTATTTCTTCCTCTTGTTTGGCCTTTGGAAATTTTTTATCTTCGACGACCTCTTTGATAATTTTGAAATGTCCCCCTTTCTTTATTTTCTTCAACATTTTTCTTTTCTGACATTGTTAATTTTGATTGAAAAGCTTGTTCTATATTCTGGTTTGAAAATCTGTTCATTCTTTTACTCATGTACTTCAAGAGACCCACTTAATTCTTGTAATGAAAATTTAGATAAATCTTTTGACTCTTCTATGGAAGCTATAACATGGTCAAATTTTACAGGCAAGCTTCTCAAAATTTTCTGAATAATTTTTTGATCAAGAATATCATCTTCATAACATCTAATGTGAAGTATTATTCCAGCAACTCTAGTAAAAAAGTTCTGAATAGCTTCACTGTCTTTCATCTAATTATCAAATTCTCTCCATAAATTTTGGAGTTTGATAGAAATATCTTTTTCAGATCCCTTGAATTCATTTTTCATAATATCCCATGCTTCTTTTAATTTTGAACCAGTTTTTATCCTAGGAAATATAGATTTACTTACAGCTTGCTGGATGAAGATAAGGGCTTTTGCATATCTCTTTTTATTTTCCTTGAATTCATTTTGCTTTGCCGCGACTACGAATCAAATACTGCTACATCTTCTGGTACTGCATAACCTTCTTCAATAATATCCCACGAGCAAGGTTTCTATGCTTCCCCTATAGTATAAAACTTATATACTTCCCCTTATCCAACCGTCCATTCTGAATGGAGGGCTAAGATTGCCTCAATCACAATGTCACGTCTCTACACTATTTTTATTTATTTTTATAAACTATTTTTACACCAAATTTTGGATGTCCAATCCTCTATTAAACTTGCACTAGTGAAAAATATAAAAGCAATATTTCGAATAAAATAAAATAACCAAAATACCCCTGAAAGTTTCAAGAGGTATTTTGGTCATTATATTTTATCAAAAAATTATTTTTAATAGTTTTTACAGGTGCGCCCCAATTAGAAGATGACACATACAAAATGTAATGTTCATACAATTTGTATAAAAAAAAACTAAAAATAAAATACTTTGAGACGTTAGATCTAAGATCAAAAGATGAGTGGCTCTCTTGATCAAAATTGGATGGCTGGATGGTAGGGGAAGCATAAATTTTTTATGTTGTAGGCAAGTATAGAAACATTTCCCATATCCCACAGATCTTGTGAGATAAAGAGAGTCTTCATTTGGAGACTCCATGAGTTATAATCTTCTCTATCTTATGTCGTAAATATTAGATTTTATGTCATAAATATTAGATTTTGGGTATAATTCACACTAGAAGTTGATACCAAAGGTAAATGGGTTCTTTTAGGAAGCATAAATCTGGCTTTGATACCAAATGTTAGAAATTTACGGAAATGTTGATATAATAATTTGACTAGAAAATAGCAAAGAAAGATAATAAGGGTGAAGAGGAGGCACTATGGACTCAAGGATATTTCACTTTTTTATTGATACAATGAAAATAATTTTAATAACAAACAAATGTAATGGCCTTTAGCGACCATAACCTTCTTTCTAACTTTCTTTTACATATATATATATATATATATATATATATATATACGACGTACGTTTACGTTTTAGTTAGTGTTAGTTTACGTTATAGTACGTCGTCCGTTACGTTAGGTTGTTCGTTACCGACGACGTACGTCGTTCGTTCGTGTGTCGTC